CGCAAGGTATAGTGCTTGATTGTTTCCGGCCCGGAATATTGAATTGTTCCATTGCGGTTATTGTTGTAGGAGGTTAGTGTTCTCCTGTGGCTCAATCTTATTTCCACGCACAATTAAGTTGTAAGTTATTTTTTGAGGCCGAGTAAATGATGCCCGTGATCTAAATAACTTGGCTCACTGTCAGCTTTGTTGAAAAGATGTGAATGGGTACATTCCTCCAATCCATGCAGTATGTTAAATACTGTTGTAGGTTACTTATTAGGCAAATGGGTGAACTGCCAGTTTTTTATCACATATCATGTATTTTAATCTATATTATTCTCGTGGAACAGAAAACTTTATTACTTTCTGATTGGGGTGCAAACCGAGTGGTACTATTTGCGTAATCCCCCAAACAATCAATTTCCGTTGCTGATAATTTGCAGCTGCCCCTTCGTACTTGATGCTTAATCCAGTGCCAAAATTAGTTATTTGAAAGACCATGGTCATTTAGAGACGCAGGGGGGAAGAGGCATTTAAAAGTGTATTGTATGAGTAAATTATATGTAATTAATAGTAGATGAGCACTAAAAGTACCGTTTAATATGATTGCAGGAACTCGGCCCAGAAAAGGTTCTTGACATATGACCAAGAGAAGTCTATAGAGTCATTTTACCCAAAAGAATAGGTGAGTTGACATGACAGTAACGGCCAACGCTGGTCCAATTTGTCTCTGTACAGACACTATGAGGAGCTTCCTTTCGTGTGCATCAAAGGGTGGTTTTTGATGTTTTTTGTGATGCCTTGGTTCTTTGTTGTCGATTTAAATCCTCCTCTGTCAAAATCCAGGCTGATTTGTTATCACTGAAAATGTCTTTTAAAAATCTTGGCAATTTGGGAAATTGCTGGAATTGGTTTGGATTGGTGGGGTAGACTCCCTTTTCACATGCTCTGTCTAAATATCATGGTGCTGACCCACTACAGCAGAGTTCTTAGCCAGTGCGCCTTAGGTATCCTACCCGACCCGCCCTTAGTTAGAGAGACCAGCTCTTATAAAACTCAAGTTTCTGTGGACAGGGGTGGTTTCTGGTGGAAACAAAAGTAGTTTTGTGGTTCGCTGGTTCACCCCTGTCGATTCGACTACTTTCCCGTCGAAATCCGGATTTGCCTTTGTAAATTTGGCCAAAACTGACGAAAATTCAAATCGCTGGAAATAGTTGGGATTGGTCAGACTGAATCCTTTTTCAATCTCTGCATCGAAGTTTCACACCGCCGGGCCATTTTCAGTTAGATACGCCTGTTTTTGGACCGGTTCGCCTGCGAGGTAGGCAGCCCATCGTACGCTGACCGCCAGATTCAAAAGACCACCCTCAAAACTCAAGTTTCTCTGGAAAGGGGTGGTTTCTAGCTGAACCAAATGTAGTTTTGTGGTCCCCTGGGCCACCTCTGTCGATTTGACTACTTTTCCGTCGAAATCCGGACCCATCAATTTTCGCTAAAAACACAAAGGCCTTTGTAAATTTGGCCAAAAATGAAAAATTTGAAAATCGCTGGAAATGGTCGGGATGTGCCCGACAGCATCCTCTTTCAATATCTCCGTCGAAATTTCACGCCGCTGGGCCATTTTACGTGAGTTACGCGTGTTTTTCTCGGACCGGCTCGCGCGCCAGATTCAAAAGACCACCCCTTAAAACTCAAGTTTTTCTGGACAGGGGTGGTTTCTGGCGGAACCAAAAGTAGTTTTGTGGTCCCCTGGTTCACCCCTGTCGATTCGACTACTTTTCCGTCGAAATCCGGACCCATCAATTTTCGCTAAAAACACAAAGGCTATAGCCTTTGTATATTTTGCCAAAAATAAAAAAAATAAAAATCGCTGGAAATGATTGGAATTGGTCTTGGAG